TGAGTGGGAGGGGGTTTTTTTGGGGTGGGAAGGATAAAAGGTGCGGGGAGGCAGTGGCGGAGTGCCCCAAGGGGTGCGGGACCCCCGGTCACGGTGGGATGGACACAGTGGCATTGGCGTCCCCCCAGCCCCGCCAGCAGCCTCTCGTCCCTTTTGGGAAAAAAAATATGAAAAAAGTGAAGGGTGGGTTTTCTTTGGGAAAAAGGATGAACCCACCCAGGGGGAGAGGCTGGACCGGCCCCCCAGGGTTAACCCTTCCACCAGCGTGGGCAGGAGGGTGCTGGGCTGGCTGGTGGGTGCTAAAATCTGGGGGGGCAAACACCTGAGCAGGGGCTCAACTCCTCTGGGGTCCCGTGGGACTGGGATGCCATGGGGCTCCTTGATCCCCAAGCTGGGTGAAGCCTGGGTTACAGGGATTTTTCTTTTTGTTGTTTTTCTTGCCTATCTATCTATTTATTTTGTATTTTTTTCCCCTCTGCGGGGCACGGCCGAGCTGAAGCTTTGAGCAGGTTTAGCGAGTTTGTGCCCGGGTTGCTCTGGCAGCAGGAACCCGCCCGGGTGACAGTCGAGGAATGGTGATGCAAGAGCCACCACAACCCCGGCTGTCCCCCGTGGAGGGGGAACATGAGGACCCCTCTGTGCTGGGGGGGGGTTGTGTAGCCACCGCCTGCCTCAGTTTCCCCATGGGTGGCCCTGGGGACCAGCAGGGTTCGCTGGCAGTGATGGGGCCAAAGCCCATTTCACCCCAGTTTGGCTTTACTGGGCCACCACGTCGCGAGTAGGGATGGGGTTGGGGAGGACGAGCCCCATCCCACGCCCCCTGCCCGGTTGGATTGGGGCGCAGTGAGCGGCGCGTCACCTCTGGGACGGCATCTGGCAGCACTTAATTGGCTGCGGAATTGCTGTTTCTTAATTAGTAGCACTGGGGGAACGTCCCTGGGGGGGTGTTCAGGGATTGCCATGGGGTTTCTGCCCTTTCCCTGAATTTCCCAGCAGTGGCTCGGCCCAGGCCAGAGCCCCAGGGCTGGGCAGGGGTCTGGGGGGTTCATGGATAATGGATTTTCTAGGGAGAAAGGAGGGGTTCCCCTCTGCAGGGGAGGGGATGCTCCAGCAGGAAAACCTGAAGCCCTGGTCCAGCAGGCTGGATGGGGGAGATTTCCCAGTGATGCCCGGGAAAATAAAATAAAATAAAAAAAATAAAATAAATAAAACTTTAAAAATAATAAAATAAAATAAAATCCCCTTTCTCACTGGCTGGGGCAGCGGG